AATTGGTGGAGAGATTTTCAGGAATACAAATTATACATAAGTCCCTGTTTCTACTGTATTCTTCAAATGATTTGATTGGAATCCCTTTTTGGTGTTCAATCCTTTTATAAGTAATTAAGCCACAACTTTAAGAATAAATCTAGTTATTTAATATTGAGCACTGTTTATAACAATATATACCAACACATTATTGTTGCACTTATGAGAAGAAATATCAGGCTTATAATATATTCGAATTTGAAATCATTACAAAGACATAATGCAGGAAAATAAAATAAAATGAGCTGGATACAGTGTAGCACACCCGTAATCCCAGTGATTCCAGAGCCTGAGGCAGGAAGATTGCAAGTTTGAGAACAGCCTGGGCAACTTAAGGAAGACCCTGTCTCAAAGTAAAAAGTAAAGGACTGGGATGTAGCTCACCAGTAAAAGTGCCCCTGGGTTCAATTTCCATACTACAATAATAATGGTGATGATGATAATGATGACAACAATAAATAAAATAAAATTAGAGGAACTGTATTTATAGGACATTTTAAAAGATCAAACAGAAAATCATGTCCTCTCTATTGCTATTTTAATTTCCAGCATCTGAACTGAAATTTAGTGAACAGATCAGTCTGTAAAATATTGAGAATGTAAAAGAACTTATGAACAAAAAATTAAAACAACCAAAAATAATGAATAAAACACTCTTCATTATATTAGGGAACTGATGCTTATATTTGTTCTTTTTCATGGTGAAAATAAACAGCTTTAATATTCAGACCTGGGTGCACCCATGTTTCAGAACACTCTGAGAGTACTCTGTGATGCCTGGGATATGCTAAGTCCCTGCAACCAAAGTATGCTTCTGCCTTCCTATTAAAGTTGCCTAGTCTGTGATGAACTTGAATATATTCCAGTTCTAAACACTTCTGATAGTAGACTTGTTGCCTGGACTTAAACTATTTCACAGTTCTTTCATAGGAAATAAGTTACCTTTTAAAATTAGAGAAAATAATTTTCTTTTTTTTTTTTCCACTTTATTGGGATTACAGAAACTATTAGACAAATTGTATTCATTTTCTTCTCCCATACTTTGTGGAAGAAGATTGCCTCCTCTTTTGGATATGATGGGATAGATATCTAATATTGTCATGCATTCATATTTGTATGCCTGTAAAGTGTGTTTAGGTTATTCTGAGATCAAAGTACCTTATAGTTAGAGAGGGAGAATTTACTTACTTTTTACTTCAAATGTTCTAATAAACTTTGTTTAGATAAGAAACACATGGGACATATGGGGCCAAACAGTGTTCTTCCAAGGGCAGTTTTTATGGCCCATGTGAAAATGTTATGTTCTAATCCCTGATACTCTTACTTGTCTTTGTCAATAAGCATTGCCTTAATATCCCATAAATGCATTTTTCCCTCTGTGTTTATAAAATTAATGGCAATTAAGAAGGGGCCCAGGCATTGCTGCCTTCCCCCTACCAACTTCACTGTGGTGGAAAATGAGAAGTAGATATTATTCACTGACCTGGGTGAGGGCTAGCTTCATATGCATGCAAACCATGGAGTTAGTCAAACAGGGACTGTCCCCTGAAGAGTGATGTGCTTTGCTTAAAGCCCTACTATCACTGTTTCAACATTCTTAATAATTGATGAACAAGAGATCCTGCATGCTCATTTAGCATTGTACACTTCAGGTTATTTTCTTGGTCCTATCACGTGTTCTTCTTTACTATGTTGCTGGGCCCTTGGCCTACAATCATACTCTGTCAACACATGCAATCTCTCGTTTAATCAAAGAAATAAGCAAATAAAAACCTTTTTACAAAACTAGATATTTAAATGATTAACTTCCAAAGAACTGTATCCTATGGTGGGCTTTTGACTTACTGATTTTTAGTACATTGAGAAAAGTATCCAAGTAGATTTCCAGTCGCACAGTTCTTACTTGGATGTTTTTGTTAATTTTGAACTAATTAGTGCTGGTTTTATGTTTAAAAAAAAGAATTGAGTATAATGCTCAGGTTCTGTCTTTAAAGTGTTAATTTGGAAACATTTCAATTGAAATGTGTTTTCTCACTTTTATTTTGGATAATATGCTATTTTTTTTTTTTTTGCAATATTGAGAAATGTAGCTTTATCATATGAATTGAAGCATTAGCATTAGGAAAATGTTCCATTGTTTTTTAAGAATAATATGTTACTTGGAATTATAAAGAATTTTAAAACATGGCATTTAAAAGTAGACCCATCAACCCCCGCTCTCACTGAGCTTTGGATACAGTTTCTGCCTCTTTGGTGCCACCCAGTATGTTCAGTTTTGTTGTGGTTGCAGGGGTCTTCTTTGTGACTCTTTGGTAAATGGAATTTCCCTTTCTCTTAAGTCTTTGGAGAATGGGTTAGTGTTTACTCACTGTCTTTTAAAGCTGGGCCCCAAACTTTTCCCTTTATACATATTGGGGAAAAACATTCCAAGGGCCCCTGCTTCTTTGTTCTCATCCAAGCCCACAATTAGCTGTAGTTCCTTCCTGTAGCAAGGAGGCGGAGGAAGGGGTGGTCCAACAGTCATTTACTGCCTGCGAGAAAGTGCTCAGCCAGTTTCTTTGTCCTTTTTGTCAGGGACGGCTGCCTCCCTAATTGTACTGCTGTAGGGAAGCACGTGCCTTTGGGTGCATTATCTGATTCCTACAGGAGGTTAGGGAGTGCTTTGTATACTGACCCTTAACTTGAACAGAAATAATATCTTTTCAACCCCCTTTCCAGGCGGTTGCCTCAGGCTTGGATACCTAAGAGCTTTAGTTCAGCCAGGGGCGTGGACACATCTGTACCAGACTGGGCCTCAGGTTTTATTTTCCTTCTGTAGTTGCTTTACCTATAGTTCTGCCACACCTGTCAGGAGGGGAAGCCCAAGATGGAGGATAGGAGAGGGGCAGGAGCTATAGAAGTCAGAGGGGAGAGAAGGCGAGACCAACAGCTGCTCTTGTCAGCAAGGGGATAAGTGTAAAGAGATTAATAGTTATTTGCAGAGCAAATGGGGAGGTGGCATTCAGCAGTGGAATGCGAATGCATGAATGTCATGGAATGGGCGTGCGACTATTAACATTTAGACAGATGCTCTCTGGACTGAATGGAATGGCTGAGTTCCTTTCTCCTCCTCATGTAAAAAGAATTAAAGTTAAATAGAATAATTTTATTATACTTAGAGTTTAAAATTTAAAAAGAATTGCAAGCCCCTCTTTCTTAGTGAGTTTGTTCTTCATGGTTTTCCTCAGCTTGAAGAGGTATTCCAATGGAAGAGCCAGCTTTCTTGCTTCTTTAACAAATGCGTAATGATAGGGCTGCCTTCTTCTTGCTTTTGATCTCTCCCTATTTCAATAACCTGAAGAAAATATGAGATTCCCATGTGTCAAAGGGCTTTACAAAGGGAAAACTGTTGCTTCTTCTGGAAATGTGCTCAATTAAACTAGGCTTAGGACCCTGACTCAGCTGATCAGGCCCTGGATGTGATGGCCTGGTGTGACAGAGCCCTGGACTCAAAGCAGGTTTAGTCTCTAAATTTCTACTCTACTGATTAGCTGATGCTTCTTACCTCCCCTCTCTGGTAGTCATATAATAAGTTGTTCTGTAGGTGAAATGGGAAGAAATTAATCTGTTCTTTTCACAAACATCTTACTGAGTCCTTGACACTAATGCTCAGGCCCATTCACATAGAAGACATGAAAGAAGCTGGCAGATGGAGTGACATGAGCTGATGCACTTCTGAACCATATTGAGCAGAGGATTTTATTCATGATTAAATTGTGATTCCCTTGTACATGTTCTACTCTAGTAAAATACAAAGAGCTGCAAAGAAAAAAAAATATTTTTTATTTTAAAATTTAGACCAGGTTTAGATGATACAGTAGAACTTTACTTTAAAACATATAGTTGAAGTTGGGCACAGTGGTGCAGGCCTTTAGTCCCAGCTACTGCAGAAGCTGAGGCAGGAGGAGCACCTTAGCCCGGTAGTTCCACACCAGTCTGGGTAACGTGGCTGGAAACTCATCTCTAAATAAATTAACTAATTAAAAATATTTACATAAGATTTTCGTTTACCTGCTAGCTACCCATTCCCCCCCAGTCTTTGTGACACTAGTTTGTGGGATGGGATTGAGGGAACATTATTGGTGCTCTGGGATAGAATTTGGAAGTATAAGAGCAAGAAAAAACTTGAAGATTATTTCATTTTGTCACATATGGATACACACACACTCGCATATATATATCTCACTTGCCCAGTTTGATGGTCTTCCTCACCCACTGGGGTTTCTCCCAATTCCAAATTGAGATGTTTCCTGTTCTTTTTACCACCTTCCCCGTGTGTGTGTGTGTACATACATGAATGTCATGGAATGGGCGTGCAGCTATTAACATTTAGACAGATGCTCTCTGGATTGAATGGAATAGCTGAGTTTGCTTCTGCTCCTCATGTAAAATAATTAAAGTTGAATAGAATAATTTTATATAATACAATATATTATTATATTAACCATATAATAATACATGCATATATATAGTTTTACATATATATAAAACAATATGATGCTTAAATCCCTTAAATGTATCAAGTGGTCTTTCTCATTCTGAATACTATATGCCCCCTCCCTAGGGGAAGTCACAGCTGTGGTATAGTGCTTCTTTGTTTTGAAGTATCCCTAAGCATCTTCTGAGCACAGTGCACTTTTTTTGCCTAGTCTGTGAATAAGCATGTATTCTACTTGCAACACTCTTGAGGATACCCAAAGGCATCATAAGAAACCTGTGAACTGTGAAGATCATTACAAACATAGGCCTCCAACTCCTCTTGACATTTCTGTGTATCACAGATTGCCTGTTTTACTTTTCAAGTGAAATCTTTGGGGCCTGAAGGGGACTTCTTTAGAAATACGCACCACATGACGCCTGTTTTGGAGTATACTGATCTTGGCTTAGATGGCTGATGTTAGGGTTTCTGGGTGTTCTTGCAGCCACAGTACACGAACCTGGGGCTCCTAAACAGCATGGACCAGCAGATTCAGAACGGCTCCTCGTCCACCAGCCCCTACAACACAGACCATGCGCAGAACAGCGTGACAGCGCCCTCGCCCTATGCGCAGCCCAGCTCCACCTTCGATGCCCTGTCACCGTCGCCGGCCATCCCCTCCAACACTGACTACCCGGGACCGCACAGCTTCGATGTGTCCTTCCAACAGTCGAGCACTGCCAAGTCTGCCACCTGGACGGTAAGATCCCCGGCATACATTGCCATCTCGCCTTGCCCAGTACCAGGGTCTTCCTCATCCACTGGGGTTTCTCCCAATTCCAAATTGAGACATTTCCTGTTCGATTTACTAACTTGCCCCAAACCTACCTCTACAGCTGCACACAGCACCCTGAGTTAGTTCAAATGAATACTGATTTAAAATGTTGAAAGAAAACCTTTCTTTATATAACTTTTCTAAGAATACATATTCTTTCAAAAATTAAAAATGATTTATTCTATTTTACAGTTTATAATGCATTCTAACACAATAATGGCTCAAATATAAGGGAGAAACTTACAAAGCTGGTTTTAACAGGCTGATCAAAGAATGCTCCAGACCAAAATGGCATGCATGTTTATAAAAAAAAAAATTAACATTTACATGGATTATACAAATCTTCCAAATATATCATCTTATTTAAAAATAACTTTAGAATTATTTTCACAATTCTTTTTCTCTGTGGAAAAAATATGATTCTTTGAAATTTTTTTTTTCATTTTTACCCTTTATATAGTATCTTGTTCACTATAGACTGGATTCCAGTGGTACAGAGTTTATTAAATTATCTACACTCATAATGTTGACGACATTCCAGCACAATTTCACATCTGTTCCCTCATTTTGATCTCACATCTTTGTGAAGTAGGTAGGACCATTTTATAATTCCTGTTGTGCTAGTGAGGAAAGCTGAAGAACAAGGAGATTAAGTTAGATAAAAATCCTGAAATTTACAGAGGCTTTTGTGTAGCTGGGTAGATTTCTGATGTCCGCCCTCCCCATTGTATCCTTTCCGTTTCCACTATTTCACATCAGGGTGTCTGTCACAAAATTGTCCTAAAACTTATTTTATTTTACTGTGTTCCTTTTATGGTGTGCAAAGTGGTTCTGTCACAGCTCATATTTCAACCATGAAGTCTAAGTAGCAGCTTAAAACTCTGTCTTTGCTCCACATGTTGCTAATCAATTGTGTGATAATCTTTAGTCTGTTTTGTATTTATAATCCTGGAGATGGATACTGCAGGTGAGTAACTTAAGAGTTACAGGCCTCATATGGATGGTTGATTGATCTAAGTAAGATTCTGAGACCAGGATGACCATTTTGTAAAGGGGACACATGTGGCTTAAGATGGTGATCACTAGTTGGACATTTATAATCACAGCTCTTCAAAGCTAACCGCTACTTGCCTGCTTTACTGAGTCAGGACTCCACTGTATTATGAATGGACTTGTCTGAGAGGATGATGGGCATATTGAGGCCACTAAAAGAATAACTTCTTCCCTTCTAAAATCATGTAAGAACCATGGGGATGAAGCTTGCTACAAGTACATCAGATCAATCCCATCTCCTCACAAAGAAATCTTAAGGTCTTTCTGCAGTTAGCACATTCCCCAGCCATCTTCATTCAAAGTTCTTCTCTGAGAGAGTGTATTGTCTCACAAAAAGCATTGGGGATCTCCACCTAAATAATATAATAGAAAGAAAATAAAGAATTTTTGTGTAATGCATTGGTACAGTTTCCTTCCAAATAACAGCAGTAATATCAATACCATGATAAAAAGCATAGGCACTTGGGTGTTGAGAAAAGAGTAAAGATTAAGAGCTGGAAAACATGGATTCTAGTCTTGATCTTCTGTGTGACCTTAATTAATCACTTCATCTTTCTGGCATTCAGCGTGTGCATCAAATTGGGATGAAAACAGTGAACGTACTATGTTTTCTGATAGTCTTAATAATCAGCACAGGAAGTTCTGAGAAGGAATTTGATTATAATCAAGTATTTTGTCTGCCATTCATGAGCAACCTTTGCTAAGTAATTTGCGTCTTTTGGATTTCTGTTTGTCTACTGCCTACTTTGTAGATTTTAGAGAAGATGGTGTTTACATTTTAATTAAGTTTCTTTCTTGCTTACAAGTAAGCAATTATTTAGGCTTAGTTGCATTTCTTATTTTAGGCTTAGTTGCATTTCTTCTAAATCTAGGACACTTGAACCCTTGTCTGAGTAGCTGCACCTAAGAAGATATTCTCTTCTTAGTCATGGATACCTGTATATACCATAGCATCATGTAGTACTTTGGGCCAGTTTATATATCCTTACATATATACAAAGTCCTCAAATTTTTGAAAATATTTTCTCATATATTTATCTCAGCTGAGCCTTATGACTACGTCTCTTATCCCCAGTTTTATAAATGAGGAATTCAAGGAGTAAAACTTGCAAGGCTAATCACCAGCCAAGGAGGAAGATGAATATAAGGCCTACCTCTTTAGTTCAGGTTTCTCCTCCATCCTGCCTGGACTCTCTTTTTGGCTGATGGAAGGGTGGGGACACAATGGAGCAGACAGGCCCTGTGTAGTGTGGTGCTGTCCTCTTGTATCCTTAAGCCCAACTGCTGGAGGATATGTTTTTGGTGCTATATTGCACATCTATTTTTCTAGCCATCTGTACTTTTAAAGCAACTTTTTAAAATAAAATGATACATTTTAGAATTGCTCACATACTGTTATTTGCGTGACACCATGCTTACTGTATAGTCTTCTGATAATTATTCAAGAATCTTTCTTCTACCCTTCATCACTTGTTATCCAGTCCTGTTGAATTTGCCCTTTGAATTTTCTGGTTTTTCTCTCAGAATTGCTGTCAAAATGTAACTAACATATTTAAAGCATATACGCATTTTTCCTTTGCTTTTTTCGAATTAAAATCATAAATGTGATTATGGTTCCGGTTCAATAAAAATATGATATTTATTTTAAACTTCCTTCAATGAAATAAAGTAAAACGATAACATTATTCCATAGTATCTATTTTATATACACATATACTTACAAAGTATACTCAATTTAAGATTTAATTTCAGATTTTATTTTTCCACAATTTATCACTAGTCATAGAGGCCTATCACTTAATACCGTGTGCACTGCTTATCTTGTATTTTAGTTGGAAATCATCAGCCTTAGGACAGTTGAAAAAATGATGGTTTGGAGATGGTAAGAAAACCAAGTGTAGATAGACTTCAACTTTCGAATTTTCTAGTAGTGTATGGACTTTCCCTTCAAATTCAATCTCTCTAAACCTTACTTTTCTCACCTACAAATGGGTATGTTAATATTTTCTTTTTCATGACAATTTCACAACCAGTAAATTTGCCTCTCAGTGCCTGGCTAGTCACAGGCATACAGGTATTCATTGAGTCTGAATTTGAATCCTGTTATTTCATGAGTTTATTATAGTTTCCTTGAGGGGTCCATTGCACCACAGGTGATAATCTGAGAGAATGTGAAGTAAAATGTCCACTACCTTATTTTTTCTTAAATGTTTTTGGTCCATTAACATGCATACTCCAGCCCCAAGGAGCTGTGATACCATCCACTATACATATACATGGCCAGGTGATAACCGGCTCTCTTGAATACAGGGCTGAAGCTGGCTGCACTGCCTTCTGAGCCAGCCCAAGTGGGGCCTCCTTGCCAGCACTAGGAAGGACCCTTCCCAGATTTAAAGACCAGTTAACTTCAGGCATCTATTCCTTGCTCTTAATTTTGCTTTATTTATGGGGATATCTTTCGTATTCTTCTGCATTAAATAAAAAATAACAATCGGCTTCACTTATTTAAGAGTATGCATATTAATCTACAGTGACAAACTTGTAGAATAACCTAAACACCATGGCAGGACCAATTCAATAAACTGTAGCCTATCCATATATCAATATGCTGTGAGGCCATTAAACAGAAGCATACTGATTTGAAATGCTTTTGGAGGAGCTGGAAGGTCTTTCCATGGCACCTAATTGAGAACTCAGAGCCGGGGAGAAGAACCCCACTCCTGTGGCAGAGTGCTTTGTATTGGACTCCAGTGGCAAAGCTTTGTGTCAGTCTGTCTGTCTTGATTACTAGCCTCACACACCTTTAATAGTTTGAGAATTATTTTTGCACAGCCCATGGCTCACAGTACTCTTTGTACATACTGTGGAAACCCTCAAAGTATTTTGTTATTGTTAGTTTTTTTATATATATATATATTTTGTTGTGCTCAGACTGAGGTAATGAGCCTGCATTTAGGGTGAAAGATCACTTTTTCCTCTTCTGTCTTTATCTTGTCATGGACTTCAAGTTCTTTAAGGTAGATGCTCTGACCCAGGGTGGAGCACCATGTCAGATATAGGGTAGACCCTTTAATGAAGATTTAAAAACGTTTCCTTGTCTCTTCATGGTTAAAGGAAACAATTGTAGTTTCAAAGAGGAGCCTTCAGTTCTGATCCTGACTCTTAATTGTCCATGAATTTGGTCCCTTCTGCCTCTGCCCATGATTTATAGAGAGCATTCTCCCTTTGCACTTCCTAATGATGCCAGACTCCTGACAAGTTCAGAGCATTGAAGAATCTGCCTTGAGCAAGTGGAGAGATTAGGGAGGTGTCCTTTGAAAGGGGGAACAGCCAGTTCCAGGGAGAGTTCCATTGATCCCAGCATATTGTTGCATTCTTGCAAACTTGTTCCCTTTGGCTCTGCAGACAGGCAGCTGAGATGTGTGGCCCACCCTCCCTGTCATCAGGTTACCTGTAATGTAAGACTTTTAGAAAAAGGCTGCCAGCTTGGCCGAAATCTAATGCAAGCCAGCGCATTGCATGGTCCTCTGGAATGTAGACTCTTAAGCATAGTCCATCAAAGGACGTGATGTACATACAAACTTTTCAATGGTAAATATGATTTATCAGCTTCCTTTCACAAAGGAAGCACTTCTGGCCTGGGGATGTAGCTCAGTGGTAAAAGGCAGGCTTAGCATATATGAGGCCCTGAGTTCAATTCCTAGCACCACCAAAAAATAAAGAAAATTTTTTAAAAAAAAGAAAGAAAAAGAAAACAGGAGCACTACTCCCCTCAAAAAATCTGAGCCTTAATTGGGGCTTTATCTAACGTAGTTGAGTGGCTCTTAGATTGTACTGGTGAAGGACAGGAGAGAAATTAGTAGCTTGTGTCA